GCAAAAAAGATGTGTGTCTTTACATTGATATAGCTACCTCAAGTTAGCCACTTCAACGTAAAATCCTAGTGGAGACAAAGTACAGGTAATTTGTATCTCAATGTGGTAATCATGGTCAACTCTATACCCCCAGCTGGGATTTACCTGGAATAACTACACTGAGGTAGAAACCACAGTATCTTGTCTCCACTAGGATTTTACATTGAGATACCTAACCCATATTTTTTTCTACTCTACAATTGCAGCTGAAGCTTCTTGAAGTGGAAGGGCTCTTCCTTGACTGGCTTATTGCATGGGAAGAAAAGAATGCAAAGTGATTGCTGCTACCACAAAAAAGCAGCATGCCAAGGCAGGAGGAGACATCAGAAGGGTTGGACGGAGATGGACAACAGACTACATGTGAGTGCTATTGCCCTGTGTGCTGCATGGGTTCCACCCCAGCCCCAATGGGAAGAGCTGACATTGGAGGGGCAGGAAATGGAGTATACTGGTGCCAAGTACTAAGGATCTCCTTGACTGACATTGCCGTGGAAGTGAAGTGCAATAAGTACCTTTTGATTCAGCCTGTCTACCCATCTAATAATAAATTAATGCTGATACTTTAAGGTACTTTCTCCTACCTATAAAGTAGATCAGTATTTATTCCCATTTTATAGATGAGAAAACTGAAGTACAAAGGTGTGACAGGATTTTTTCAAAGTTGCACAGTGAGTCAGTGGCAAAGCTGGGAATAGATCCCAGGAGTCCTGATTCTCCAGTTCTGTGCTTTAGCCACAAGACCGGCCTTCCCATTTGTAGCTGCAGCGTTTTCTTTCCTCCCTTTCCCTCTGTTACAAACTTGCTCTCATCAATTTTTTCCTCGCCATTGTCTTTCTGATTCTCTACCACCTGGCCTCTCCCCCATCTCCTTTCTACCTGTCCACTTCCCTTTCACCATGTCTGTCATTTGCAGGATGTAACATGCTGCTGCTGCTGAGGTCCAGAAAGCAACATTGTTGGCCACCTGTCTTTGCTGAATTGAGAGGCACAATGGGAACAAAGGAGCTAGCAGAGGAGCAGTAGTTGGAGAAGAAAAATCATGTAGGGTTGTAAAGGACAGCAAGAGATCAAGTCCAGCCCCCTTGTGCTGAGGCCGGACCAGGAAAAGCTAGATCAGGGGTCGGCAACCTACGGCACGCGTGCCCATTTTGAGTGGCACACAGCTCCCTTCCGCAGTCCCAGCCCTCAGCCCCCCGCTCTCCCCTGCGGGGGCAGGAGGCAGAAGCTTGGTTCTGCGGCAGCCAAGCTTCCCCCCCCTCCCCTGCTTCTTCCCCCAGAGGTGCTTTCCTGCCCCTCCTCCTCTCTGTCCCTGGCCAATCAGCTGATGGCCCTAGCGAAATGGGATATTAAAAGTTATTACAGAGAACTTTTTCCAGAGGGTCTGGCTAGAGAATCTTGCCTGAATGCTCGGGGTTCAGCTGATCACCATATTTGGGGTTGGGAAGGAATTTTCCTCCAGGGTAGATTGGCAGAGGCCTTGGAGGTTTACCGCCTTCCTCCGCAGCATGGGGCAGGGGTCACTTGCTGGAGGATTCTCAGTGATTTGAAGTCTTTAAATCATGATTTGGGGACTTCAGCAGCTGAGTCAAGGGAGAGAATTATTCCAGGAGTGGGTGGGTCAGCTTTTGTGGCCCGCATCATGCGGGAGGTCAGACTAGATGATCATAATGGTCCCTTCTGACCTTAGAGTCTGAGGGGGAGGGGGAAGAGCGGCAGCGTGTACACAGCTCCGTAGAGGATGCAGAGAGAGATAGGGACGGAGCCTGGGGGAAAGGGGTGGAACAGGGCATATCCCTTCCAGCCCCCTGCCATGAGCAGAGCACCCCCGCCTTCTGCCCTGAACCCCCGCACCCCAACACACACCCATCCCTCTGCCCTGCACTCCCACAGCCCCAGCCCTCTGCCCTGAACCCCCCACACCAACACACACCCAGCCCTCTGCCCTGCACTCCCACAGCCCCAGCCCTCTGCCCTGAACCCCCCACACCAACACACACCCAGCCTTCTGCCCTGAACCCCCACCCCAACATACCCAGCCTTCTGCCCTGATCTCTGAACCCCCTCACACACACACCCCAGCCTTCTGCCCTAAACCCCCTCCCCCAGCCCTCTGCTCTGACCCCTGAAACAGAACACGCCCCCCCCAGTCTGGGGTCCCGGCCGCAGGCCCTGATCAGCCCTCTGCCGGTCTAGGTGAACAGAACCCCAGGCTGGCAGCGAGCTGAGCAGGCTGGTGGCGTAAGATCAGCATTTTAATTTAATTTTAAATGACATTTCTTAAACATTTTGAAAACCTTGTTTACTTTACATACAATATTTTAGTTATATAATATAGACTTATAGAAAGACCTTCTAAAAACATTAAAATGTATTACTGGCACATGAAACCTTAAATTAAAGTGAATAAATGAAGACTCGGCACACCACTTCTGAAAGGTTGCCGACCCCTGAGTTAGATCATTCCTGACAGCTGTTTGTCTAACCTGTTCTTAAAAACCTCCAATGATAGGGATTCCACAACCTCCCCTGGAACCTATTCCAGACCAGATCTATCCTTACAGTTAGCGGAGATTAAGCCCACTGCTTCTTATCCTACCTTCAGCAGCCAGAGAACAACTGATCACAGTCCTCTTTATAAGTCCTCAACATATCTGATGACTTATTGGGTCCCCCTTCAAGCTTTTCTCAAGATTAAACATGCCCTGTTTTTTTAGCCATTCCTCATAAATCAGGTTTTCTAAACCATTTATCATTTTTGTTGCTCTCCTGTGGACTCTCTCTAATTTGTCCATATCTTTCCTAACATATGGCACATGGGACTCATATTACAGGTCTCACTAGTGATGAGTAGAGCGGGACAATTACCTCACATGTGTCACATATAAAAACAACAAGGAGTCCTTGTGGCACCTTAGAGACTAACACATTTATTTGGGAATAAGCTTTTGTGGGCTAGAACCCACTTCATCAGATGCATGGAGTGGAAAATACAGTAGCAGGTATATTTATGGAAAAGAGGGGAGTTGCCTTACGAGGTTGTGGGAGGGGGAATCAGTCTAATGAGACAATTTAATTACCAGTAGAATACCAAGAGAGGAAAAATCACTTTTGTAGTGGTAATGAGGGTGGCCCATTTCAAACAGTTGACAAGAAGGTGTGAGTAAATTAGTATGGTAAAATTAGGTTTTGTAATGACTCATCCACTCCCAGTCTTTATGCAGGCCTAATTTGATGGTGTCCAGTTTGCAAATTAATTCCAGTTCTTCAGTTTCACATTGGAGTCTGTTTTTGAAGTTTTCCTCCCTTGGTATTCTACTGATAATTGTCTCATTAGACTGACCCCTCAACTGGTAAGGCAACTCCCATCTTTTCATGTACCATGTATAAATATATCTGCTCCTGTATTTTCCACTTTATGCATCTGATGAAGTGGGTTCTAGCCCATGAAAGCTTATGCCTAAATAAAGTTGTTAGTCTCTAAGGTGCCACAAGGACTCCTTGTTTTTGCTGATACAGATTAACACGGCTACCACTCTGAAACATATTTCACGTATGACACTCTTGTTAATACACCACAGCATATTATCCTTCTTCACAACTGAATCATAACCCCCAGATGCTTTCTAGCAGTACTACCACCTTAACAACTATTCTCCATTTTGTAGTTGTGCATTTGATTTTTTTTCTCTCTCTAAAGAAAATACAGTATAGTCCCCATTATCTGAATACTACAGGGGCCATGGATTTTTTTCAGATAAGCAGCAGTTTGGATCAGTGTGAGGTCAGGAGCCATTCAGCAACAGAGCAGTCTCCCCCACAGTGAGGGTAACCAGATAGCAAGTGTGAGGGGATAATAGGAGCCTATATAAGAAAAAGCCCCAAATAGCGGGACTGTTCCTATAAAATCGGGACATCTGGTCACCCTACCCACAGCCAGGGGCTCATCCTTCTCCTGGCAGTCCTGGCCTGGGGTTTCAGCTCGGCCCTGCTCATTCACTCCCAGGATTCCAGAGCTGCAGAGGGCTCCCTCCTCTACCGCAGTACCAGTGACACCCAATCCCTGAAAGCACAGGGTGTGAGCTGTAGTTTGCAGTTCTGGCAGATCACAGCAGAGAGAGAGACACTGCAGCCTTCCCTCTACCTTGTGCCTGCAGGGCTCAGGTGCCAACAGCCCCCAGCAAAAAAGGGTGATCTCTGTAACTCCACGATCACAGCCCTGCTCACTCCTGTTTGGAATGGCTGGGCTACAATCACCTTCCTACACTGCCCCCAGAGCCATTCAGCAGCAGGGTAGCCTGCCCCAGGGCCGGGGTTTGTCCTCCTCACTGTCCTGTCCATAGTTCTGTGTGCCACGTGCTGTGGAGAGAAGGGGTTTGGGTTACTGCAGTTCAGCTCTCCGGGTTTTGGCTACGGTGATCACGCTGCACGGGATTTCAGCTTGGTGATTTCTGAGCAATTCTCCAACCTGTCCAGGTGGATGAATTCTAACCCTGCCCTCCAAGTGCTACGCCCCCTCCCAGCTGCAAACCTTATCAGCGCACCCTGCCCACCTGTATCCCAGGCCTGACTGAAAACACTGAGCAGGAGCGGCCCGAAGTGCCCCCAGCCTGCCTGGGAACCACTGACCGTCCAGCGCGACCTCCCAAGGCGCGGCCGAGTCCGAGCAGAGGCTGAACCCTGCTGAGGCCCAGCACTGGCAGAGGAAGGGGGCGCTGCCTAGAGGAGGCCGGGGCCAGGAGGCTCGCGGGGCGGGGCTGCTGGGGTTACCTGTCGGCCGCAGCTCGGTTAACGGCCCCGTGCTGCGAGCGCCTCGCGCTCTGCGCGGCGCCGCCACTTCCCCGCCCGCCAGGGCAGGAGTCAGGCCGCTCCGTGCACGCGGCGCGGGGGGCTCAGGGACTCGCCCAACGGCCACTTGGGACGGGGGCGGGGCTGGCTCCTTTCCGCTCTCCCCGCTCCTAGGACCGTAGCGCCGGCCCTGGCCTATGCCAGTCGCGCGGCCGCCTCCGCCGTTTGCAGGCGGCTTCTTTGGGCGCCAAGGCCCCCAGCGGGCCTCTTCGGCCCGGGACCGGCCCCGCCCCGTCTCCGCTGCAGCGGGAGGAGCCCCGGGAGCGCGCTCCGCCGAGCGCGCAGCCCGGTGTCTCGGTGGCGGTCATGGCGGCGGCCTCGCAGCGGGACCCCGGGGACTGGCAGGATTTCTCCGGCTTCCAGCCCCCCGCAGGGAGCAGCCCCGAGCCGGCCCGGGACGGGGGCACTTGGGGGCCCGGAGCCCTGGGGGACAAGCTGCTCCTCTGCTTCAAGCCCCCCCCGCCTCGGGACGGCGGCAGCGAGAGCCGGGTCCCGCTGCGGCCCCTCAGCGAGCAGAGCGCCCTACAGGAAGACGAGTGAGCGGGGGCGGGGCGCCGGGAGGGGGGTGAACGGCACGCGCGGGGGCCCCCGTAGGGGCCTGTAGCACGTAGTTGGGAGAGGGCGGCGCGTGAAGGGCCCGTTGGGGTGGGAAGGCCTGGAGGGGGCAAACGGGTGGGGGTGTCCCCGTTCGGTGGGGTGGGGGCGGTACTGGGCTGACTGGGCTGTGGCCTGTGCGTGCTGGGCCTCTCCACACTGTAATCCGCACAGCGCAACTTGGCTCTGAACTCAAGTTCACAGCCTGTGGGCGCTGCTAACCAGAGCTGCTGCCAGTAGTTGCCCTCATCTTTCCTATGGCCACTTAGAAAGCAACGTTAAAGGTCAACATCCGAGTTTGTCAGCGTCTCTGTGCTTTCCCCCTGGGGTTATAAACCCCGTGTGCGCTACTGTGGTAACCCAGGTGGGTCAGCCAAGGTGAGCTAATGCCACACCTTTTCCGCAGGGTAGGCAGGCTGTCAGTGAGCACCAGCAGGGCTTTCCTCCTAAGCTGCCCCCATTGAGCTAAAATGGTTTAACAATGCCCCTTTTGCCCATCAAGACAGGGTCCTAGTTTCATGATAGTCTGTGACAAAAAAGAACTAGATAAATTCATGGAGGGTAGGTCCATCAGTGGCTATTAGCGAGTATGGGCAGGGATGGTGTCCCTAGCCTCTGTTTGCTAGAAGCTGGGAATTGGCGACAAGGAAAGGATCACTTGATGATTACCTGTTCTTAAGGTGACCAGACAGCAAGTGTGAAAAATCGGGACGGGGGTGGGGGGTAATAGGAGCCTATATAAGAAAAAAGACCCAAAAATCGGGACTGTCCCTATAAAATCGGGACATCTGGTCACCTTACCTGTTCTGTTCATTCCCTCTGGGGCACCTGGCACTGGCCACAGTTGGAAGACAGGATACTGGGCTAGACGGACCTTTGGTCTGACCCATTATGGCCGTTCTTATGACATGTATTGAACATTACTACAAATCCTGTGGAGAATTTTCTTTTGATTTGATGGGGATCCAGCAGCCTGTTCAACTTCATCCCATGAGAGAGGAAGATCAGAGGGATCTGAAACACTACAAGAAAAATCTCATAATGAGAATACACGATAACCAGTTTTAGATTTTTAAACTTTTTAGTTGTATATGGAGGGATTTTAATTAGCAAAGTGACAGTTCTTCACCTAGGTCTAGCCACACATAAAATTTGAAGTTAAGCTTTTTTTAAGTCATTTTTAGGTCTTAATATATTTTTTTTAGATGGGGGGGGATTTTTTTTTCTTTAACTCAAATGACTAAATAAACTTGAGTATTACAAATGGATTTGTAACAAAGTTAAGTTTTAACCTTTCTTTCTTAATCTTTCACTTCCGTAAACATTAGAGACTTTCCTGACTAGTGCATTTTTATTTTTACTTGTACATTCCTTCATAGTTGTGCAGTCTTCACTGAAATTAAGTGAAGTTTTGGCTTGGGAGTTGCTGCTCAACTTGCTAATTCCTAGTTTTGAGATGCACGAGGCAAGGGAAATTAGAACAACATAGGCCTTGTGAATTCTCAAGTGTAGTCGCGCTGCCAGCTCTCTCGCAGCGCTGCAAGTACTCCACCTCTCCGAGGGGAACAGCTTGCAGCGCTGCGAGCGAGCGTGCAGCGCTGCAGGTGCTGATTACACTGGCGCTTTACAGCACTGCGCTCGGGGGGAGGGGGGTTTTCACACCCCTGAGCGCAGCAAGTTGCAGCGCTGTACAGCGCCAGTGTAGCCAAGGCCATAGAAAAGAAGTAGGAAAGGGTATAGAGCATTGTCTGGCTAACATTTCAACAAAGGGAAATTTACCACCCAAATTTTGTTACGTGACCCATCAGGAAGCATGGCTCTTTTTCAGTTTTCTTTTTATTTCTCTGCCGTGCAAGCATCAGCAAATGATTCCCCTTTTTGCATTTCAGGCGATACATAAATAAAACCAAACTTTTGCAGCATTTATTTCTTTGATTGTAAAAACTTTTAAAATATTTTAAATTGAATACCTGAGAGAATTCCCAATTGATACAGGTATTAAAAAAAGAGAGATTCTGTTTTATTTTTTGTTTTTGTTTTGTAGAAGATCAGTTGCTATTCATTTCAATATCAGTTTGTTTCTTTAATCCTTTTGTCCAGGATTTGGAATGCTTTGACTGATAATTATGGTAATGTAATGCCAGTTGATTGGAAGTCCTCCCACACCAGAGCTTTGCATATGCCAACACTGAATCTCTCAGAAAAAGGGGTAAGTTCTGTAGCCAAAAACCTTTTGACGCCTTTTCGTCTTGGTACAGAAACAACATAGGATGTAATTTTTCATTAAAATAGTTATTCGTGATCACTTTAAAATATTTTTCCTTTTAATGTGTTTGTATCGGCATTAGCAGCAAGGGTTGTCTTTTAACATTGACAGATCTGATGCATACATTTCTGCTCCTCGCTGTCAATAAAGTGTTATGATGTGGGTTCCTTCTAAACTGACTGACAGGTCAACAAACGGACCAATTTGCATAACAGAGGGGCAAGGGAAAGACAGTAATAAAAGACAGTAATAAACTGTGGAAGTCTTCTTGTTCACTTACAGTCTTGCCTCTTGTGTATTGAATGGTATCCGAAAATGTTGGGGGGTATTCCTGTGTCTTGGTAAATTCATTATGGACTTCTTCCAACCAAGGCCACATCCTGCAATCAGATAGATACAGGCAAATCCCTGCATCTGTGTGGATCCAGTTGCAGGATCGGAGCCCAAATATACTTCCTTGCTCTACAAATACGTGAGACTGAAATACAGCAACACTTGCCCCTTCCTACTAATGGAGAAAATAGGCACCACTAGCATTGCTTAGCCAAGAAGTGTCATTTTAATAATATAATGTACTAAAGCATATTGTGAAAGTTTGGATGTTCTTTTGCAGCCTAATAACTGGGTGATTGAAAAAATAGGATTGATACCCCAATTTTCCAGTGAAAATGGTGAGGTATTTGGGAAGATTGCCTGTAAATTTGCATCCAACCACAAGCATGATGAAATTTGCACTGAGCACCAGAAAGACTTTAATGAAAACATAGCACATGTTTTACACAACAGGATACTCAATAGGCACTAAATTTGAAGATAGTTTGGGAGGGATTTGACAGAATGCAGATAGTTGACAGTCTCAGTGAAAATCTTGATCTAGTTAACAAAACTGGTATTGCATAATAGAAAATCAAAAACTGATTCAAGTGAGGCAATGGATTTTTCTTATTGTGTAGCCAGTATGATTGGTCCCAAATACAAAGGTCATATAGGGAACCAGGGTATGAAAAAGCAAGTAAATGAGACAGGGCAGCTAAAGTCAGAATTTTGACAATTTTTAAGAGACCTTCGTTCCCATCTAGCCAATTCAGCATTAGTCAAGTGTAGTCAGCAGATTCAGATTGGTTTGTTTGGGTGAAATGTTGTAATAGGTAAGGTGGTGAAAATGCAAATAATATGGTAAAAGTATATCAGTATATAACGGCATAATGGTAGGCCTAGTGTTTAGTCTGGGGACTTGATTTTTGTGTCCCCCTGTTTAATTGTGGAACTGCAAGCTCTTATGAGAATGTGCCTTTTTGTTTGAGGAACAAATACTTGTGAAATGAATCCCACAGTATGTGTGGGGTTTTCTCATTTAATAAAACATAGAGGTTTTTCCCAGAAAATAAGAAGCTTTGTTTTATGGTTGGAAAATCACAACCTTGAATTGTCTGCCCACCCTGGCTTCTAATTGTAACTTTATTACACGTGACTTAATGTATATTGTGTATATAAAATAAGTAATGACATGCACTGCTGATTCTTGCATATGTCAAAAATTCTGATGACTTTCTCAGGTGTAAATAGCAGTAATCTTACAAAGAATTCTATAAAGTTACAGAAAGTCTGATAAATATCAATCTGTTGTGTAGCCTTTCACTGATGCATCTATTTTGGTGTCTTGCTTCTATTTGAAGGAGTACAGGGTGAACTACATGAGTCTGATGGACTGATTGGCTAGTCTACAAATGTTTGGATGGCATTGAGTGAGTGGTGTGTGTTTAAAGTAGTCTTTCCCCCCCCCCCCCTGCTTTTGGGAAAGTAAAGAATATGCTAATACTCTTTGCAAAACAAAAAGATGATAACATTAATAAAATATGCTTCAGCTACAGTTTCATTTTCACTTTTGTTGAGATATTCCGTTTTATGGTATAAGAATTATTTATATCTTTTAGATTCTTGAATATGAGCAAGAATCTAATGTTTTGATGTCAACAATAATGGAACCAGACTTTCTTCTTATAACTTTTTGCCCTTTCACTTTTTCTGTGTGCGCTTTCAGTTAAATGAACATTTGAACCTTGACCTATCAGATGATGAAGAGCTTCGAGAACAGCTGGATATGCACTCTATCATAGTTTCCTGCATCAGTGATGAACCGCTGTTCACAGCAGAGCAGGTAAAGAAAAATATTCTGCAAAAAGACAGTGTTACGGCTTAATACTACATCTTAGTTCTATGCCTTTTGTTCTTCCTAGTTAGTGGATGCTAAAGAGATTTGGAGACAAACTGATCGCTTTTGTTTATAGTTATAGCAGCAATGTCTATACCATGATCTAGGGGGGTAATTCCCCTGCTTATGTAGACATATTTGTGCTAGCTCTCAGCTAGCTAGTGCGAGTATAAATAGCTGTATAGCTGCAGTAACACAGGTAGCGGTAGTGGAGACACAGCTGAGCCGTGCCATGTACATACCCACCAGTTTCAGATAGCTTTGTACTCGGTGCAGCTCAGCCTTATCTTCACCCGTGCTATTCTAGCTATGCTGCTATTTATACGCTCGCTAGCTTGATGAGAGCTAGCACAAGTATCTGTACATAAGCAGGGGAATCACACCCCTCACTTGCAGTGTAGATATAGCCAAAGGGATGCATTGGGTACTTTTTCATCTTTCAAATTGCCCTCTGCGTCAGCTTTGGGGTTTCCATATGGGTCTTTGAAATTCTCATACTTCAGTTTCCTGACATGAGCCAGCAGGAATCTGAAGGAAGAAGATGTAGACAAAACTGCTCCTAAATTAAGGGTCAAAAGCCGGCCATGGGATCGTCATAAGCTTACTGTAAAATATGACTTTTGAAAACTGATGGATAACTAGGAAAATCTGGAAAAATTGGAGGTAAATGAATATGCAGGACCAGTTGTCATGTGGGAGAGAGCAATTCTGTCAATTATTGTCTTGGTACATCTAACTTCTATCAATACTAAAGTAATCAAATAAGAGAAGGGAAACTGGTGAAGGTTAACAAGTAATAAGCATGGATCTATAAAGAACAAAGATTGGCAGAAAAACTTGATTGCTCTTTAAAATAAAACTACAAATTATGTAAATGATGGGAATGGAGTTGATGTGGTACATTTAGATTTTAGTGGAGGGTTTGATATTTTCTGATAATCTCAAAAAAAAAAAAATCCAAACTGACTTGCTAAAAACACTGTCAATGGGAGTAAAAACTGGATAAAAGTTAATGATAAACTGTAGTGGTATTGAATTTGGGGAGATGTTGAGCAGGGCAATGCAATGCCTAGTTTTAATATTTTCATTAATGATCTGGAATCATAAATAAAACAGCACATTAAATTCACCTATGTTAGTAAACTGCAGAGGATTATCAACAATCAGTACAGAGAAATATTTCTGTGAAAGGAACCAAAAGAGAGAAGAAACATGGGCCAAAAAAACCCCTGATATACAATTTGGAAAAAGTAAATTATTGCAGCTGGGGGAAATAGCATAAAATGCAGATTCTCAATATGGTGGAGGGAAATGCAAGACCAGAAGTAACCATTGTGAGCATCTGGTCTGAGCTCCTGTATAACACAGGCCATAGAACTTCCCCAAAATAATTCCTAGAGCATAACTTTTTGAAGAACATCCAATCTTGATTAAAATTCTCAGTGATCCACCATGACACTTGGTAAATTGTTCCAATAGTTAATTTCCACTCACTGTCAAAAATATATTCCTAAATCCCAGGCTGAATTGATCTAGCTTCAACTTCCAGCCATTGGATTGTTATACCTTTCACTGCTAGATTATCAAATATTTGTTGCCTATGTAGATACGTATCAGTTGTCATCGTCACCCTTTAACCTTCTCTTTGTGAAGATAAATAGATTGAGCTATTTGAGTCTGTAGCTATAAGGCATGTTTTCTTATGCTTTAATCACTCTCATGACTCTTCTCTGAACCCTTTTTTTTATAGCTGTTTTCAATTTCTCTTTAAACCAGGTTGGTTTTTTTTAATCAGCCTGGCCTTCTTCCTCGATTGTGGCTTTTGGGGCATCTAGTAAGGTGTTCTTAAATTATTCCCAATTACAGTAACTCCTCACTTAACGTTGTAGTTATGTTCCTGAAAAATGTGACTTTAAGTGAAACGATGTTAAGCGAATCTAATTTCCCCATAAGAATTAATGTAAATGGGGGGTGGGGGTTAGGTTCCAGGAAAAAAAAAATTTGCCATACAAAAGGCATTATATACGTTTTAAACAATTTTTAAACAAGCAATTTAATACTACGCTGCAGGGGGGGGGGGAGGAGTAGTGTGCATGTGCTGTGTGTTTACAAACATACTGTACATACACTACAATGCTATAGTTGGGAGGTGCCCCTGCCTTACCCTACACAAGCACAGCCCCCTGGCACTGGAGATGAGGCAGGCAAGGAATCTGAAGGTACAATAGGCTAGGAGAAGCACATTGTGCAGCAGCGGCAGCCTATAAGTCAGCAATTCCAATTCCTTTTGTTTGTTACCCAGGCTCCTATCATTGATGTATAAGCAAATAAAAAATTTCTTCTCTTCATGAGACACATCTGGAAATTAGTAACACTGAAAGACACCTAAATAAATTAAACATAAATGTGCAATATACAATATAAATGTGATGTGGTAGGTTTTAAAAAAAAAAAAATTAGTTTACAGAACCAGGAGGTTGTAGTTCCTTTTTTGGACAAGCCTGGTGTTACCACAACTGAAATTTTGCATTCAGTTTGGGGTGCCTAATTAACAGGAATATATTGACAAACTGGGATGGCCAGAGAGAGCAATAAAAATGATTAAAGGGCTGTAGAAGGTAAGCTTATCTGGAAAGAATAAAGTAACTAAAATATACTGTAGTTTTGCTATGGATGACTAAGGGGAGAATACCTATCTACAAATATTTGAAGGATGTACATATCAAGGACTGAGGAAAAAATATTTATCATGGTATAAAGTGGTTTAACTTAGACTGAATATCAGAAAAAGATATACAAACAAATCGTCAGTGGTCTTGAAGCAGAGAGACAGAGGGCTTTATATAAAGACTTATGTATGCATGGCTGCAAACTTTATTTCTTAGCCATTATGAGGCAATATGTTTAGATTAATGAATAAACTTGCTATGAAAAGACTAATTTGTGCAAATAGTCCTATTTTCTATTTTTTAAAGAAATTTCCCTTTATATTGATATGCCTGATTCCCAGTCTCAACATTGGCTTTGCCTTGTTAGTAGTACCTAATATGCATTTATTGGAAGAAAAATTATCTAGAAATAGAAAATTTAAAAAGTAAAAAAGTTTATGAGCTGTTAGTAGAACATATGCAAATTATAAGTTGTTGCTCGTTACCAGTGATTCTCTCCCTAAGAGTATGTGTATGCATCTTTATTAAAGGTGATTGAAGAAATAGAGGAAATGATGCAGGAATCACCTGACCCAGAAGACGAAGAAACACCCACGCAGTCAGACCGGCTCTCCATGCTTTCCCAGGAAATTCAAACACTCAAGAGATCCAGTACAAACAACAGTTATGAAGAGAGTAAGGGATACTCATTTAATATCTTAACGACATTTTTAACTTATTGAAAATAGCTAATGGTTCAAACTGCCTTATACTTGATCTATAATCATTTCCATCTGTGAAATCATCTGCCTTTGAAAATGCAGTCAAAAAATCTTGAAAGGCAAAGTAAACTATAATATATATCTATATCGATAACTAGATATCTATATAGCTGAGAAACATAATTGATTTCAATAAATAAACATTATAAACTGCTATGAATGTGTTTGCCTAGAATTGAATATTAAACCATACCTTTACAGTATTTAAAACAAAAGCAGCTGTATTAAAGTTTGACATGCTGGATTTGACTCCTTTTACAGGGTACGTATTCCTTGTTAAACTTTTAACATATTAAAAGTTAGGTAGGATGATAGTGTCTTACAGATAGATGCACATTAAGGCTAAGGCTAGTGTGTACTGTATTCTTCATTTAGAGAAATGAACTAAGGTTAGTAGAAGTTGAAAGCTTTGTAGAAAATGAAGAAAAAGTTCTTCCATGATGTTGTTTCAGTTACTATAGTTTCTCTGTTTTGGTATAAACAAGAGAAGAATCAGATGAACAGTTATTTTCTGTGATTCTGCAATTGCATAATGCAGTTTCTGTTGAGGGTGGTTGTGAGAGTTTCACCTTAACTTTCAAAGACTTCTTTTAAAGAAGATTTTGGGCATTTTTGGTTCTTCAAGTAGATGCTGGCATGTATTTAACTTAGGTGTGTGCACCCAGTGCTGGAGTTTTTTGCCTAGCAGTACCCATAGAGGGGTGGTGCTTGTGGCGGTGGCCTCTCTTCTGGCTATATGAGGCAGCGCCACTCTGACCCTCTCCCTCAGTTCATTCTGATCGCCCCTGGCTGGAGTCAGAGCTATGTGTGGTTGTAGTCTCACAGTCTTGCCTTTAGTTTTAGCTTGGTTTATTGTATATAGTTAGTTAGTTAATTAGTGTGTGTTAGTGTTAGTTGGTAGTGTTCCACAGTGATGTCCTCACCAGGGTTTAAACATTGTTCTTTGTATGGAGGGGCTATCCCCAACAGTGACCCCCACATGCAGTGCTCACTTTGTTTAGGTGAGGCCCACCTTAAAGAGCATTGTTTGATCTGTACATAGTTCAAAAAGCAGACTCAGGTGGTGCGAGACCTTCACCTCAAACAGCAGCTGCCTGAACAGTCCATGTGACCTGATCCAGTACCAAAGCCCTCTTTGGGCCAAAGATTGCCCTCTGGCTCGGAGAGCATCACTGCCTCTTGTTCTGAGGCAGGTGCCTCTCCGAAGAGGCAGAGGAGCTGTTCTCAGTCATTGGCACTGATGAAGAGGTCTCCTAAGACCAATCGGAACCACTCCAGGTCGCAGGGCAACTCCTCTGCCTTCTACAGGAAAAGCAGGGACTGGCACATGACTGGTTCTGGCACACGGGATGGTGTAGGTACCTCTGACTGTTCACTGGTATTCAGTAGGAAGGGCAGAAACCCCGTGCTGTTGACACCAGTTCTGGTCTCCGGATGTCTGTTGAGTCTGGCACCAATTAGGGCGATGCCAGTACTGACTGTATCTGCTGTGTCTATGTACCAGGTTGTGGCAGACCCGCTCTGCCTTTCCATTTCATCCTCCCCACTGGTACAGAACTTTCCAAAGCTTGCGCCTTCAGCAACCCCTCCAAAGGACCACCCCACTGAATTGTGATGCCCCTTGGCACTGCACCCAGACATTCTCCTTCCCACAGTGGGCATGGAACTGGTACCAGAATCAGTATGGGGACTCTCTTCAGCTCAGCAGCATTTGACACCACAGATAGTCCCATGGCAACTTTCACCACCCTCGACGTCAATGCTCTCGTGTGCTTCGATACCGCTGTTTGTGTCAGGACCAACGGCTGTAGCACTGGCAAGCTCAGTACCAATGGTACTGCCTTCATCAGGGCAATGGTTTCTGCCTTGTTCTGAGTGATCGATGAATCTGACCACTAGTTGGTTCACTTATGCATTGCTCCGCCCTGGTTGCCGAGATCCCAAGGCTCTTCTGATTCCAGGTCGGGCTGGTTGTCATCCTGCTCCACATCACCCAACAAGCTCTGAGGGCTGCCAATGGACCAGTATGGTTCCCAGGGTTGGCTGTGCACCATGGCTGGGACGGAGGTCCTTGTTCCAGCACTATTGTCCACCAATACCCTACCTGTATCAATGGGCTTCTTTGACTCAGTGGGACACTCCTCACTTGTGGAGATCCTGCTCGTTGTCCCAGTCAAAGCTGAAGTCACCTGTCAGATCAGCGGTGGTGACTGCAGAACAGCCATGTGCCTAGGCATTGATGGCCTTTCTCCCTGCAGAGCTACTGGAGTCCTCCCTTCCGGGCACTTTGCCCTGGAGCAAGAACCAGTTTTGGCTCAGTCGAGATACTTGTTGCCGGATGATGGTGTGCTGCCTGGCTCATCCTCTCCTATCCAAAAGGACTTTAAATTGTACCAGGACCTTTTACACCGCATAGCCACATCGCTTGGCATCCTGGTACAATTTTTTCCAAGAGAACACACACAAACTGGTAGACATTCTACAGCCTGCCATCCCTGGGAGAAATAGTCCTACTGACTGGTAATGGGCTCCTTGAGCTGCCGAGAGCCCTGTGGAGTACACCGGCCTCGGTACTGCTGGTGGATAAGCTACTTCATTCTGATACAAGGATTTGAAGGGTTCTATTCCCATTGGGCCAAAACTCCCTGGTTGTAATGGCAGTGAACAACAGGGCCAGGCAGGGGAGTTTCAAGTCTACCCCCAAGGACAGAGACTCCAAGCAGTTGGAATCTTTTGGGCAGAAGTATCTATACCTCATTGTCCCTACAGATGAATATTGTGAATCCAACAAGCTTTGGTGTCCAAGTATGATTGCTTCTATTGGTCAGCCATGTCCAAAGTCAAGGACCAGTTTCCCAAAGCCTCGTTTGAGGAGTTTTAGGTGTTCGTTACGGAGGGCTGTTCGGTGGCCAAAGCGTCCCTGCAGTCTGCCCTTGACGTTGGAGACACCTCGGCCACGGTGATGGTCTCTAATTATGGGGAGGGCTTCATGTTGCAAAACTCTGGGATCACTTTGGACATCCAGCAAGCCATAGAGGACTTGCCCTTATGCTCAGTCTTGTTCTCAGACAAGACTGATGGTATTTAGCACTGGAATCCTTAAAGGAGTCCTTGGGAGTGTACATGCTGTCCATGCAAACACGTTGCTATGGGGCTCGCTAGCAGCAACAGTATCCCCTGCAGCATTCCTGTGTGCAGCCTTTCCCCCTTAGAAAGAAGGATGGATAGATCCCTCAAGAGGAAGCAATCAGGCACAGGCTTCAGACAATCCACGCGCACTCCCCCAGCGCCCGTTTTGACTCCTTAGTCCAGAGCATTACTCCACCCTCTTCATCTTTCCTCCCCAGCCCCCCAATCCCTTTGGGGACAGACTGGCCCGTTTTAACAGTTCTTAGGACTCAGTTACCTCTGACAGCTGAGTCCTAGATGCTGTTAATTGAGCTACACAATCCAGTTCCTCTCCACACCCCTTTCACATCCCCCTCCCTATCCTCCTTCAGGGATCCCTCTCACAAGACATTACTCATCAAGCAGGTCAGCTCTCTGCTGACGTTGGGAGTGGTGGAGGAAGTTCTGCCGCAACACCAGGGCCATGGCTTTTACTCAGGATATTTCCTGATCCCAAAATCCAAGGGCTGGATGAGACCCTCCTCAACCTTCATGGCTTCAACAAGTTAATAAAATAGAGTGACCATGTAGAACATCATCTATCGGCTATCCTCCCTGCACTGTCTCAGAATGACGTGTTCTTTGCTTTGGATCTCCAGGACATTTACTTTCATGTGGTGATTCTACCAAGCCACAGGAAGCTTCTTCATTCTGTGGTAGGAGAGCACCACTTCCAGTATACGGTTCTCCCCTTCAGCCTCTCATCTGCCACCCGTGTCTTCACCAAATGCATAGAATTGTATGACTGGAAGGGACCCCGAGATGTCATCAAGTCCAGTGCCCTGCACCCATGGCTGACTAAGGATTATCTAGACCATCGCAGACAGGTGTTTGTCTAACCTGTTCTTAAAAATCTCCAATAAGAAAGATTCCACAGCCTCTCTAGGCAATTTATTCCAGTGCTTAACTATCCTGACAGTAAGTTTTTCCTAATGTTCAACCTAAACCACCCTTGCTGCAGTTGAAGCCCATTGCTTCTTGTCCTATCCTCAGATGTCAACAAGAACAATTTACCTCCCTCCTCCTTTTAACAACCTTTTATGTACTTGATAGCTGTTACCATGTCCTCCCTCCATCTTCTTTTCTCCAAACTAAACAAACCCAACTTTTTAAATGGCTTTGGGTCATGGCATATCTCAGGAGGAAAGGAATTCACATCTTTCCGTAACTCAGGGATTGGTTGCTGAAGGGGCGGCTCAAGAGAGGAGGTTATTGCCCATGTCAACACCGCATTGTGTTTGCTTGACCATCTGGGACTCATTGGAAACACTGGAAAGTTAACCTTGGCTCCCACTCAAAAAATCAAGTTCCTTGGAGCCCTGTTAGATTCCATAAGGACGAGACAATTCCTGCCAGCCGACTGCTTCCAGGCAATTTACAGCTCTGCCTCAGACTGCAAACTCAGCTCACAACGACAGTCCGGGTGTGTCTTAGCCTGCTGGGGCACACGTCCTCTAGTATGAAGGGGGTCCAGTTTGCCAGGCTTCACCTTCAGCCTCTTCAGATGTGGCTCAGGACAGTGTACCGCCCTGCCCTGTATTCTCTGGACAGATTAGTTCGCCTTCCCCCACTAGTCCTAGATTCCTTACACTGGTGAGTGTTCCCATGCAATGTGTGCCAAGGGAGCCCTTTTGCTCGGCCCTCTCCAACAAAGTCAGTGGTTACTGAAGCGTCCCTTCTTGGGGTGGGGGGGCACCTGGACTTGCTGAGGGTGCAGGGTCTAGGATCAGAACAGGAATCCTTACT